CCCCATTTACTGCCCCAATTTACAGATGAGTAAGCCAGAGCTCTGGGGTGGAGTTGACTTACCCAAGGTCACAGGTACTAAGTGTCAGAGCGGCTGAATCGGGCTGCCTGACCCAGACCTGGGCTTTAAACCTCCCACTTGAGGGCAAAATCCCTGGCTCAATTACTAACTGCTCACCTGACCTTCAGACCTGAACTGAGAACCCATTGTCCTCCTCCGTCGCCTGTAGATGCCACACAGCTCCTAAATGCCATGTGTCCATAAATGCAGTCACCCGCACACATTCCTGCTTGTCCTCTGGCACCTGCCATTCTCAATGCTATTCCCTAGCCTATATTGGGCCTTTGTGAGAATCAGAAAAAGGCGCCCTTCCCTGCAGGCTGACCCAGGCCCGAGCCAGCTTGCAAGGCCTGGGGAGTGGAGGCACAGGCTGCACAACCTAGAGCAGTGTCCCGGCTCCATCATCTTCCACTTTGCTCATGACCGTACTGGGACTCATCCCCTTTGACATAACTCTCTCTCTCTCCTGCCTCTCCAGGGGGCTAAGGTCTGCAGCAAACATGGTGTCCTCTGAAATAATGCCCCAGGGCAGAAGCCACTGGGCATCCAGACAATTTCTGAAAGGGCCACAAGAGGAGCCCTGGAGGCCTAGCTGCCCTTGAAGTCCATGGGAAGATGGAGAAAGGAGCTGGCACAACCTGTAGGGCAGCGGTTCTCAACCTGTGGATCGCAACCCCTTTGGTGGTCGAACGACCCTTTCACAGGGGTCGCCTAAGACCATCCTGCATATCAGATATTTACATTACGATTCATAACAGTAGCAACATTACAGTTATGAAGTAGCAACGAAAATAATTTTATGGTTGGGGGTCACAACATGAGGAACTGTATTTAAAGGGCCAGAAGGTTGAGAACCATTGCTGTAGGGGTTCCTAGGGACAAGCCATGGGAGGGTCTCTGGTCCCAGTGCCTAAGGGGGAAGAGCCCCACCTGAAGCTCAAGTTCAAAGGCTACACTGAATCTGCTCTTCCTGTGAAGTGTGCAGCCACCAGATGGCAGCCGAGGTTACAGGCAGACCAAAACCATCTCCCCACACACACACAAAATAAAACAAACAAACAAAAATCTGAAGGCCAGAAGGAACAATTATGTTCAGAAGAGCTTGTCACCGATCCTAGGACCTTCAACAAAAGAGAGAGAGAGAGAGAGAGAGAGAGAGAGAGAGAGAGAGAGAGAGAGAGAACATGTGTGTGGGTGTGCCCATGTGTGTATGCACCTGTGTGGGATTGAGGGGTATGGACAGATTTACAGCTGGACAGATAGCTGAGGTTTAGTTCCTTCCTTCCTTTGAGTCTCTTCACCAAGCCCAGGGCTTCCCTTCCCCAGAGTTCAACCCTGTCCTGGGTGCTAGTGACACACAGAGGGAAGTGACCCATTCTTGTTCTTGAAGAACAATCAGGCTGGAGCTGGACAAAGGCAAGTAAACAGACAGCAAGTTGTCTTAAACTGGACTGGAGGGCCGGAACAAAAGCATGGATGGAGTGTTTGTGTGAACTAATATAAATTCAAAGTAAACATCATTACATAAAAGGGTACGGTCTTTTTTTTTTTAGTTTTATTCATTTCAAACGGGCCGGATCCGGCCCGCAGGCCGTAGTTTGCCCACGGCTGGCCTAGATGGTCTTCTGGCAAGTCCTGGGTGCCACAGTAACATGCATTATCTCCTTCCTCCCTCAGCAGCCCTGAGGGAAGACTTGACAGAACCAGTTTGCTGGCAAGTGGGTGGAGCACCTGAACGGTCCCACCAGCAGTGAGACCACAGCTGGAATCTGAACCCAAGTCTGCAAGACTCTCACGCTCAAAGCCTTGGCCACTGTGTGTTCTTCCAGGGACTGAAAACTGGAAGGAGGGGGCGGGATGAGGGCGGGGGGTCTAGGCCCCAGGTCAGATCTGGAGGGGGGGCAGGTGCTTCCTGCCCTGGTCCCAGAGCAAGTCTGACAGCTCCAGCCATCTGACTCACCTGTGGGGTTGGTCCAAGGGGACAGGGCAGAGTGTGTGTGACTTGGGTCACATCCCCTCCCAGTGACACTCCGCACCCCACACCTCACCTCTACCCTGGGCCCGAGGAGACTGCCCAGCAGTAGTTCAGATCTGATGGCTCCTGGAAGCACAATACGCAAGTAGTACTTCTGCTCATTATACCCTGAGCATGAGTGAAGTAATCTTGAAAATCATCTAGATGGCCTGGCACTGTGGCCTATATATAACAGGGGACACTCAAGATAGAACTCCAGGCTGGAAGTTCCTCCTCAAGTCTAATTGAAGTAAGCTGTGCTGCAATCTACCTTAGATCCGCAGTTCCTGGGTGGAGCCTGCAGAGCCTGAATTTGGGCGTAATCTACTCTGTAACCCTGTGAAATCCACACGTGTTAGGTAGGGGAAGAAAAAGAAAGGTGCAAATCCTATTCCAGGAAGTAGGAGGAGCAAGAATGAGAGAGAGACCCTGCTGGCCCTAGAGCCAGGATGTGCGCAATTTGAGCGTTCTGCCCGGAGAGCAAGTGGAGGGGGGGCGGGGGAGAGGGAGGTGATGCGGCACAAGGAAGGGAGACTCCATTAGGGACTTTACCCTCCACCGGTCACATCAGGGCAGCTTGGGCCTGTGCGGAGGGTGGGGGTAGGGGGGAGCAATGGGGAGAACCAGCTGGAAATAGAGAAAGGATGCAATGGGAGAGGGGACGGTGAGCGCTGAGCTCAGGTGGAGGGAGCAAGGGAGACCGGGCCGAGGCAAGGAGATGAAGATAAGAACAAAGGCCAAGAGACGCCCCCAGAAAGAGACAAACGGTGATGGAGATCGGAGATCGATAAAGGCTGGGAGAGCCGGTCCGGGTGGAGAGGTCCTTAACGGGGAGAAAGGAGTGGGAAGGAGGCGGGAAGGCGTAAAGCAGCACCGGCCATGTGGGGTTTCCTGCGTGCCCACCCCACCGCCCCGCGGGCTCGGGCCCGCCCCCTCATCTGTCACTCCCGGAGCTTGGAATCCCCTCCGCCCCAGCCCACGGGCTCCCTCCCCAGACCCGTGAGCGCCGCCCCCTCGGGACGGGCTGTGCCGCCCGGATAGATGGTGGGGGGCCCAGCTGGTACGTTATCAGCCTCCTCCAGGAGCCAGCCTGAGCCGCTCAGCGGCTGCCTGTCGGAGATTAGGCCCCCGGAGGGTCATTAAGCGCCGCCCTGGCCCGAGCCCAGCCTCCTTTCCCTCCCTCATCTGGCCAGTTGGGCAGGTGGGAACCAGCGATAAGGATTGGGGGCTCCAGCAGTTCTGGGGCCCACAGCCCCTTACCCCTTGCCCCCTGTCAGGGCAGGAACAAGGGGGGGGGGGCGTAGAAAGGTCAGTGCCAGCCCAGCACCTGCAAGGACCCCCGGAGTTCCCACCATCCTGGTCCTGCCAGCATGGGGCGGGGCTGAAGAGGCCCTGGAACCTGGGCAGGCCCCTGCGAGCCCATCCCACCTGGTAAAACCTAACAGGTGAGAGGCGCAGGCTTCACTTGCTGCAGGGGGATGGTGGCTCTGCCTCTGGGCCCTAGCAGGCCTGGGGGGCCGGACTCAAACCCACCCCACCCTCGGGACACCTTGTGGGCAGCAGTGGCAGGGAATGTAGCTTCATGCAAGGAGAATCGGATCCAGGCAGCCAAAGCTCAGGCCTGAGGCTGGAGAGGAGGAAGAGGTATTCTGCCGCTAGGAACCTCCCTCTCTCCTTCAGTCCCCGAGCTCTGCCCTCTGGTCTAATCAAGGAAGACTTCCTAACGGAAGAGGAACCTTGTTTGGGCCAAGAAAAAAAGGAATATGCAGAGTTGAAACTAGCAGAGGTGGGTGAGGAGGCATCCGCCCAGGGGGTGGCTGCTTGAAGTACAATTCCCAAGCAGTATTTCTGCTCATGATACTCTGAGCATGAGGGAAGTGATCTTGAAAATCATCTTAATCATCACTTGAGCAAAAGCCTAGAGGGGGAATCACAAGAGCTACCGCCACAATTCACTGAGCTGAAGCTCAGAAAGGAGAGGAGGTTTGCCCAAGTCCCCACAGCAGAGGAAGGGTAAGCCTGGGGCAAAGACCCTGCCGCCCTTCTGTCCGGGTCTTCCCATTGCTGCAGGCTGCAAACCCCAGTGAGGAGAGAAGGCATCATCCGGACTTCAGATGGGCCGCCCAGGGCATCTGAGTGAAGCCTTAGAACAGCAGAGGCATGGCTACAAACGGTGAAGTGAAGACGCTGTGACAGGTTGGGACAGTCGGCAGAGGGAGATCTTGGGGACAAGTGGTCTGCCTCCTACCTTGCAGCCCCACTCCTCTGCATCTGGGGGTGCTCCGGGGTGAGTCTGACTCTGGTTGTCACCCCAGACAGAGAGACAGAGGCTGTTCCCATAAGAATGACAGTCACAGAAGTGAGGGGCCTGCAAGGTCAGCCAGCAGCTAAGTCATGCCTCCTCTCTCTCCTTCCTGCTTCACTCTCACAGGGAGCTTGACTCCACCCCCACCCCACCCCCATCCCCACCCCAGGACTGGTTCTGTGGTGAGACTGGCCAAACCAGCCACAGAAGGGAAGCTGAGTTCAGAGAGGATGGTGACTCTTCCCAAAGTCACACAGCAAGTTGGTGGAGCAGCAGGCACTCAAATCTGCGCTTCCTAAGTCCCTAGTCCAAGACTCTTTCCTGGTGCTTCCCATGCAGGAAGCCCACCCAGAGAGGGTTGTGGAGGGGGGTGGAGCTGAATGGGTGAGATATAAGTGAACCCACCACAGTGCCAGGCAGCATGGAGCCGGCGGGAGGGGGTTGTGCTGCCTGGAATAAGGGTGGGCTTCCTGGCAGCCCCCTGGCCCCACGGGGCCTCCTAGAGAGGGCTTCCTGGGTAACCCTCCAATGCCGCCTGGAGAGCAGCGTTGGTACTGATTGTCTCGATTCAGAACGCAAGGTAGGGGCTGCCTGAGGGGCTGTTTCTGAGCCCTGGGAGCCTTCGAAGTACAAAAAGGTTTTATTCACAGAAATAAGGCCATTTCCACAGTGAGGGGAGGAAAAGTAGACAGGATGGGAGGTGCTGAGCTGACTGTCTCCTTCAGAAGGGTCTCCTGAATTGAATTGAGTGGGAGACCCCCCAGGAGACCTCAGAGCCACAGCGGAGCCCCATCCCAGGCACAGTCTGAGTTCCGAAGGAGGATTCATAGGAGGGTGGGGTGGGGTGGGGTGTGGTGGAGAAGTCGGCCTGTTGCTGTAGATTCCTGCTCAGAGGCATGGCATTGATTCCAGGCGCCCAGGATCAGCGCTGGGGGCCACCGGCAAGTGGGGTCACATGGGGGTGCTCCGGACCTTGCCCTCCTCCTCCCGGACATTCTCATAGGCGTTCTCATGCTCATTGGACCTGAAAGAGGGTGACAGGGGTCATTACACCTTCCCTCCCATCCCCTTCTCCCTGCCCCATTCTGCACTTGTGAGAACAGCATCTTTCAGAGGAGACTTTTGAGTCCCAGAAGGGGTTCCCCTGACCACATCTGGTCTTGTGCACCTGACACTGGAGGTCTCTCATTACCACCTCCCTGAACCCCTCCACTGAGCCCCTCCACACAGGCCCCAATGAGCCCCCTAATGAGACCACCTCCCCACTGAGCACTCTTCCAACACAGAGTCCCCCAACTCCTCTCTTTAGAGTCCCTTTCCCCACTGCATCCTTCCTGAGCCCCAATCCACTCACTGAGCCCCTTCCCCCACCAAGTCCCTATCCCCTTCCTCTCCCCAAACTAAGGCTTCCTGTCCCCATGGACCTGCGGTCCTCATCAAGCCCCCATCGCTCACCAGTCCCCTCGTGCACCCTCTCTCCTCACAGGAGTCCCATCCTCCCCTCCAGCTCCAGCAGAAGCACCTGGTCCTGATGTCCCAGCCCCTGGAGCACCTCACCTGAAGCTGGCCGCCATCGAGGAGTACTTTCCTTCCGTTCCTGCCAGGATCCCATCTTCCTTGTTGCCAACGGTCACGACCATGTTCACAGGCTCCCTGGGGACAGGATTCATCAGGAGAGCTCTCTGGAGCCCCTCCCTTCTTGTACCCCCTTCTCCCCACATCCAGTAAGGCCTTGTCTGGGCCCTGGTTCTCACAAGTCCAAGGGCAGAGGCTGCTGCCCCTTAGCAGAAGCCCCTCTCTCCTGTGGGGCCCCTGGCAGCACCTGATTCTGGCACCACTCCATGGACCCTCACACCTTTCTGCCTGCTCTATGGTGGGAGCCACAGGTCCCAGCCCAAGACTGGCAGCCTCCCTTTGCTGTTCTTCTGGCTCAGCTTAGCCCCAGACCAGACCCCGCAGGACTCAGGATCTGCTCAAGATGTCCACAGGACTTTCCCAGGCAGCAGGAGCACCGTGGTCACCAGCCACTGAAGACAGAGCTGGGATCAGTAGAGAAAGAGCAAAGCTCCTGGCCCCTTATTTAAGACTAGAGGCCTGGTGCATAAAATTCATGCACTCAGGGGTGGGGGATTCCTCAGCCTGTTCTGCGCCCTCTCGCAGTCTGGGAGCCCCTGGGGGATGTCCAAATGATGGCTTAGGTCTGCTCCCCTAAGCCAGCAGTTGGACATCCTTAGCGCTGTCGTGGAGGTGGGAGAGTCTCCTGCCACTGCCTCTGTGCTCACCAGCCATAGCCCAACTTCTGGCTGAGGGGTGCTCCCCCTGTGGGAGTGCACTGACCACCAGTGGGGATGTCCAACTGATGGCTTAGGTCTGCTCCCCTAAGCCAGCATTGGACATCCTTAGCGCTGTTGCGGAGGTGGGAGAGTCTCCTGCCACTGCCTCTGCACTCACCAGCCATAAGCCCAACTTCTGGCTGAGGGGTGCTCCCCTTGTGGGAGTGCACAGCAGTTGCCCCAGCTCTGCTTTTGTGTTCTGTGTCTCAGGAGTGGTCTTGTCAGAAGCCTAAATGTTTCCCTGCCCTTCCTCCCTCTTGCCGGCTGCTGTCTCCATCCCTCCATCCCAGGGGGTCTGATTCCTAGGCAGCAGACAGTCTAGACATGTTGCCTCTCTGCATTCCCCTGTCACCTCCATCATCCAGACTCTCTCCTGACCTCATGCCCAGCCTCTGCATTGCTCTCCTTGCACATGCCCACTGAGGGCAACCAGAACCACTTGCAAACTTGCACTAGATCCCCACCGCACTGGGGAGAAGCCCACGGTTCAGCACATTGCTGTGCAGGGGTCTGCTTGGCCTGGCCCGTGCCTTCATCACTGGCCTATCTTGGACCTCTCTATCCCTCTCTCCACCCATGAGATGTTGTGTTTCTCAGTGGGCTGTGCAGGGCTACTCCTTGCACCGTGGCCCCAGACCATGTGGGTGAGAGCTGGGGCAGCTGCAGCCTTGCCCTGGGGTTGGCAAATGCTGAGTGGGCCAGATTTCAGCCCAGCCCCTCTACCTCGGTGCCCTGCCCTTAACTCAGGATGCCAGGGCACTCTTCCCTGACTCCAGTCTCCATTCCAGGCTACCCTATCCTGAGACTGGCTTTGAGTCTTGTCAGAAGCCTAAATGTTTCCCTGTCCTTCCTCCCTCTTGCCTGCTGCTGTCTCCATCCCTCTATCCCAGGGGGTCTGATTCCTAGGCAGCAGACAATCTAGACATGTCGCCTCTCTGCATTCTCTTGTCACCTCCATCATCCAGACTCTCTCCTGACCTCATACCCAGCCTCTGCATTGCTCTCCTTGCACATGCCCACTGAGGGCAACCAGAACCACTTGCAAACTTGCACTAGATCCCCACCGCACTGGGGAGAAGCCCACGGTTCAGCACATTGCTGTGCAGGGGTCTGCTTGGCCTGGCCCGTGCCTTCATCACTGGCCTATCTTGGACCTCTCTATCCCTCTCTCCACCCATGAGATGTTGTGTTTCTCAGTGGGCTGTGCAGGGCTACTCCTTGCACCGTGGCCCCAGACCATGTGGGTGAGAGCTGGGGCAGCTGCAGCCTTGCCCTGGGGTTGGCAAATGCTGAGTGGGCCAGATTTCAGCCCAGCCCCTCTACCTCAGTGCCCTGCCCTTAACTCAGGACCCCAGGGCACTCTTCCCTGACTCCAGTCTCCATTCCAGGCTACCTTATCCTGAGACTGGCTTTGAGGTAAAGGTGCAGCAGAGGCCTTCTTGGACCACCCCTGCTCTCCAGATGGGTCAGGCCTGCACTGCACTCTGCTCTCCCCTTAGGGGCAGTACTTGCACTTCTGCGGGCTGCTTTCAGATCTGCCTCCCCTGCCAATGGGGAGCCTGTGAGCACAGGGGTGCCTGTCCCACTGCCCCTCTGTACCCCCGCGTGTGGCACGGCAGCTGACCCCAGGGAAGGACAGAGCCTTCCTTTCCAGAGGTTTCACAGCCCACATCGTGGGCTGGGCAGCTGTATCAACTATACAGATAGACTCTGAGAAGAGGAGCCATTTCCCCACCCTCCCAGTGAGTGAGCACCGAGCAGTGGGGCCTCGCAGGCAGGTCTGGGAGCCAGTGAGCTGGTGCTGTAGCCCAAGACGTCGAGCCTCAGCGTCCCTTTTACACCATGAGAGGACTGGACCCTGGGTTTCTACTGGAGCAGTAGCCATGGTCCTGGGGCCACCCTGCCCGTGGCGGTCCAGCCCCCAGGGCCCCCAGGGTCCCCAGGAAGCACTCACGGCTCTTCTTGGCACCAGAAGTGGTTGACAGCAAAGGCGATTGCAACGAGGACCAGGAACACGGCCATGGCGATCAGGCCCTGCATCCAGGGCTGCAGGTTCCCCAGGCCTGGAGGAGGGGAGTGAGGGTGCTACAGTGATCTGGCCACAGTGGGGCTGTTGAGTACAGAATAGTGGGGAGGGCCTCCCACCCCAAGGGCTGGGGCCTGTGCTAGAGGTCATCAGCCAGCTGCCAGGGCCAGAGGAGACCTTCTGGGTGGCAGGGGTGGGAAGGAGGACCCATCTGACACTCCACTGAGCTGAAGAAAGAAATGAAGATTTGGAGGAAGGAAAACAGGAGTTCAAAGGAGAAATGAGGAACTGAGGAGGGAACAGGCCTCAGAATACTGTGTCTGAGGTCCAGGTGGCCCAGAGCCCCCTCATCATGGGTTACCTGCAGGGC